GTGGAGGGGAGGGAGGGCAGCTGCACCCAAGTCCCTGACGCCTCCCTCCCTCCCGTGACACCTCTTCCTCCCCGCTTGCGCTTGGCGAAGCCCTACCGGGATCCCGCTACTTCCACCACCACGCCGTCATGCTGCTGGATCTCCATCAACCTCTCCTTCCCTTGCTGGATCAAGAAGGAGGAGACGTCTCTCCCAACCGTACGTGTGTTGAACGCGGAGGTGCCGTCCGTTCGGCGCTCGGTCATCAGTGATTTGGATCACGACGAGTACGACTCCATCAACCCCGTTCTCTTGAACGCTTCCGCTTGCGATCTACAAGGGTATGTAGATGCACTCCTCTCCCTCTCGTTGCTAGATGACTCCATAGATTGATCTTGGTGATGCGTAGAAAATTTTAAATTTGTGCTACGATCCCCAACAGCATCACATAGATGTATATGACTTCTGAGGATGATGAACTTTATTGAAAGTTCAAGAGGGATTGGTTCATTGGAACTACCCACTATTATCTATGAAGATAATGTTGTTTGTATTACACAGATGCACACGGGTTATAAAGAGCAACATTACAATGTGTATTGCTTTGAAATTGTTTAGCTCCATGAATTGCAAAGAAATTGGAAGCTAAATATCTTGCAAATAAAGTCATGTGATAATCTCGATGATTTGTTCACAAAGTCTTTATCAAGTTCTTCGTTCTAGAATTATGTTAGTGAAGTTGGTATGAGACGACTTTGTGAATGCAAGATTCTCGAGGTGTGTACTCCCATATGATAGCCTATTCAAGATTTCTGGATCTTAGATATTGTACTCTTTTCCTTTATGAGTTTTTCAGAATGGTTTCTCATAGAAGGTTTTTAAAGAGGCAATAGTAATACAAGCATTGTGATATGTTGTTTTCTTCTTATTTTCTCACTGGATTTTCGGAAGGAGTTTTTCATGGCATATTAGGCATATCTCCTCATATTTTCCGTACATAGTTTTTGGAGGAGACTATTTCAAGGATGATCACAATGACAAGGAAGGATTAGGGGGGGTTAAGATTTAATTAATATTGTAATTAATGAGGTAATTCTCTCTTGTATAATTGCATGTGTGTTGCCAATCCGGCAAGCGTCACGACGGTTTCCCCGCTCCGCATCAAGTGTACACGCCCTTTCCCTCGCGCCCCTCCCGTTGTATATAAGGATAGATCATTAATGAATTTGAGTGTGGTTGGATTCATTTACATCTTTCTTGAATCTCGAATCTCTCTCGTTTTACAACAGCACCAAGCACATAGAAGGTGTCGAGTTAACTTAGGTCATGTTCGTATTATGATTTATTATTATAATCTCATTCCCAACCACCTCTCTACCAATTTATTAGTGTTTGTCTATCTCGTTTTTGGCTATCTTTATGACAAACTTTTCATCTTAAATTCTAAAATGAGCATATCATAATGATTATCGACTGCGGACCGAGTCTTAAAATGTGCACTATGATAAACCTATAAACGTCATCATGTCCAATCAATATAGGGTTTAAAATTGAGCTTGCTAGCCAAACTTTATACTCCATCCGGTTGGGTTTAGAAGTCCGGCGCGTACTTTACCAAAAACTTCGGCCATGAATTTGATCAACAAAATATGAGTTACTTGTTATAAAAATTATACCACTGAAAACTTCTCATATTTGCAAATGTGTAACTCATATTGACAGGATATTTTTTTATTTGTAAATGTGTAACTAATATTTTGTTTACGAATTAATGGTTAAACTTTTTATCAAAATGCATGAGAAACTTATAATCTCCAAGGGAGAGTAGCATGGATTGTTTCCTAGAATTATTTTTTATTTGTGAGCATTAACTGGTGGTTTACATGCATTTGAATAAATGTGTTATAAATGATATGCACAATGCTATCTTTTTTTTCGAGAGTACGCCAAAGGCGTATCGTATTTTTATAGAAGGGAGAAACAATGATTACAAGAGACCGTGACTGACAACAAACGTCTACACGGGGACCTCGACTCCAAGAAAAAGAAGAAGAAAAACTACTCTCTCACAAATCTAGCAATCCCTCAACACCAACTCCTGCCCTTTTCCAAAGTTTGATATCCTAGAAGATTTGTTGCACTAGGCTAGCGTCGGATCTCACTTGGTCGTCCCTTTCGAATACTCTAGCGTTCCTTTGTTTTCATAAGTGTCATGCAGTCATAATGACGAAGGAGTCGAACCCTCTTTTGACCTTGCCTCGAAAGGAACCACGCGTCCTCTCCCACCACTCGAAGCAACCGTTCCATACTTGCCTCGCATAGACGCAACGAGCCAATATGTGGTCAACTGTGTCCTCTTCCTGGCAGCAGATGTAGCATGCCGACGTGACTGTCATAATTAAGATCTACCGTTGATAGTGGTGTAATCCCTACCAGAGAAGTTGAGCTACTCTTCTGATTTATAACTCATGATGCACGGCACAATGAACAAAGTAGAGAAGGCATGTGAAGAAGAAAACACCATGATCATTCAGCACTACATAGGGAGTGTTCACAAACCATCGCCACTACATCTTGATTAGGATTGATCGAGAACCTGCCATGCACATCCAAAACAAGCGAGCCTGCATGCAGACGCCACTACCACCTCCAGGTTCCATGGAAACTCACCCACCTAAACCTTAGCCAACGCAACAACCTTAGCTACTGCTAATCCGCTACTACCATCCTCGAACACTACCTGCTACTCCTCCTCCTGCTGCAGCTGCTATGCCGGTGCTAGCGACGATGCCGCTGGCCTAGCTTCCCTCCTCCTCGGTGCCCTTGAGGTACTCCCCGTCGCCGCTGTGCGCGCCAGAGTTGGCGCCGCGAGCGTCGGCCGACAGCGAGGTCGACCCCTCCTTGGCGCCGCTGCCGCCGCGGCCGTAGTCCGAGAAGACGCCGGCGTTCATCATGCTGTTGCCAGTGGCGCCGCCGCCGCCGCCCATGCTGGCCTCACCGTGGAGGAGGTTGAACCCGGTGGTCGCGCCGGAGGACATCCCCAGCTGGCCGTGCGAGGCCGCCTGGTGCTGCTGCTGCTGCTGCTGCTGCTGCTGGAGCGGCGACATGGCCTGCTGCGCGTACATCATCGACGACCGCGCCGCCATCAGCGACTGCGGCGACATCATCTGCGCCGACTGCTGCGGCATGTACCGCGGCCCGGACTGCATCATCAGGTTGGACGGGTACTGCGCGGAACCACGCCAAAGCGATCAAGAAGTTCATTCAGTCCTCTTAACAACTCCAGAAAAACAAGAACCGCAGCAGGGCCAGCCTCGATGAGAACTCACCTGAGACAGCGACGCCGTCTGCGGCGGCTGGCTGTCGGCGATGGCGGCGAGGTACATGAGGTTCTGCTGGAGCTTAGCTTGGTTCCTGCAGCACCGGAGCAGTAAGTGGTAGGCAAAACAAGGCTCAGCGTGCAGGCGCTGTAGCCTGTTGGGCAATGAACATTAAGCAAAAATAATAATATGTGGGACCATTGTGCAGAGATTGGCAGGTAACCAAAGATGCGCTCCCTGTCAGTCACCACAAAGTAAGCATATGCACATGAACAGAACACGCATGAGTATGACTGAAAAATAAAGATGAAACTGTTGCGGGCACTGACAGTAGGGAAGCGGAGAAACAGTGCGCTGAACAAGATACAGTGGTACTTTTCCGCACAGTAATCACGTCTATATCAGACAGATACTTTTTCATCAATAAACATAATTTTTCATCAGCCTAGAACAAGCACAAATCAACCTGGGTCTCAACCAACGTACTCCTACTAAAATCAGTAGCATCACCATTAGGGCCTAGTACGACCAACGTGGATGTCATTTGCGAACACATTTGATTGTCCAAACCGGGAAGGCCCTTGAATCGCTCTCTATTAGACGACCATAGCATTCTCTAATTGTTCCTAACACTACTCCCAACTGATATGATGTTACCAAAAAGAGCTAAGATAGCAAAAACTACATAAAACACTGCAGCATTCCATCACGAGTGCAGTGCTCCAACAGCACAGTTGCTGGGGTAGTTCACAAGGATATCAGACCAGATCAAGATCAGATCAGACCAGGGATCGGACTCACCGTGCACACTCCTCCACCTTGCCGTTGTTCTGGTTGTCGAGGATGGCCAGGATCAGCTGCTTGTTCTCATCCAGGTACTGCACAGTTCCAACGCCCAAGAAACTTTTTTATGTTAGTAACACATTTCAGTGAAGGCATATCTTGAATACTATACTGAATACAAGTACTAGTACTGCATCACAGCTGGGTGCCAACACCTCCATGTTCTGGATGTTTACCTAAATCAGTCAGTCAAGCACAGCATATGAAAACACAATCATCTATCACCAATTAGGTGCCACACAGGAGATTAGGGTGTTGCATGCACAGACACAAAAGATCTGACTGCCAACAGCCTATCCTATCAAGCCGAGGGTCAATCATTGACTGACACGGTAGCATGTAAGCAGGTTATCACAGAGGCAAGGACAAGCGCACAGCCGTGAAGCCAACTTTAGGGATCTAGCAGTCAAATACCAATGGCACAAGCGAACCTACATTCCCACTACCCACATGAACTTGGACCAGATCATGTCTGGCTCGGCCTGGCCAATAAGGCCACTCTGACCGCTAATCTTTTTCTACCAAGATATGGCAAGACACTATCCCTGGGAAAATATTCAGATTTGCACGTTGGATTAGTGGAAAGATTTATGGAAATAGCACGGCCTTTACTCGTTTCCGTTGATAGAAGATTGCACATGATGCACCTGCTAAGAAAAGGGGGCAAGATTTAATGGCGGTTTGGTAGGCCAGATGCAGGGAACGCAGGCCTGGCATGGGTTACTACTTTGCCAAAAATACTGGCGTGATCATGGGCGCCGCGGCACCGACCAAAACAAGCTGAAAATAGTACTAGGATTTTTTGGGGAAGGGGGGGAAATGATGTGGAAATACTCTCATCATATCGCAAGGAGCAAGAAAATAAAAGGGGACAAGAAAGACAGCAACAGTTTGAACTGCAGATGAAATCAGGCGTGAGGGACCATGGAGAGCAGAACAGATCTTAATATAAAAATACACATCAAGGGTATCTAGACTAGACTGGACGGAGGGTGGGGAGAAGAATAAGCATGAAGAATAAGAGGGGGTCAAACTCAGCGTGCCCTAGACTAGAGCTCCTCACAAATCTCCTAAACAAAGATCAAATGCTCCTAGAAAAGTGCGAAAACAAAAAGGGGAGAGGGAAATGATTCAAGACCACATAAAAAGAAACTGCGAAAGACCTAAAGAAGAAGAGAAGGCCAGAATAGAGCAGCGGGAACAAAAAAAGGAAACGGAAATAGAGTTGCTTCTCATTAACAGAAAGAAAAGGAAAGAGAAATGATTCAAGCACCAGATGAATGAAGAAGAATACGGAAGAAATAAGCAAGGAAAGAGAGGGATGGAGTATATAAGCACAAGAAAGAAAGTGGGGAAAAGAGGGAGGGGGATTTGGGGGATGATGAGATGACCTGCTGAATGAGATCAGTGGTGACAGTGGTAGAGGAAGCGTAGCCCCCCATCATGCTCTGGTTCATCTGCATCAGGTGTTGCTGCTGCATTCCAATCACCAACTGCAAAAAGCTTACGCCCCTCCACACAAGACCACCGCCCCTGCCGCCGCCCCTTTTGCTCTGCTTCTCCCTCTGCCTCCCCTTCCTCCCCCCCTTCCCCCTCTGATCTTGCTGCTTTAGAACAGGCCGGTGCGGAGGGAAAGAGAGAGAGGGAGGTCTGAAGGTTTCTTGGGGTTTTGGTGGTGAGAAGGAGAGCAGGCAGGGTTTTGGCCTTTGGTTTTGGAGTGGAGCTCTTTAAAAAGGGGAGGGGAGGGGAGTAGCACCACCACCGCCGGGCGACTGGGCTGCCGCTTCAGGCTGGTCACAATGGTCAAGAACATAAGCTAGTAACTTCACACTTTCCTAGACTATGTTACTACCTCCATAGTGGGTAGAAACATCTATGTAGTGTCATGCAACGATGTATTTATTAGGTTATAGACTCATTGTTTTTTGGAGTGTGTGATGTTCCGGTAACTTAGCTAGTTACCACAAGCACCTCTCTCTTCATTAAATACGTGCCACATAAGCAAAGTTGTATTGAAGTGTGTGATGTTACTCCTAAATTCCTCCCCACTGTGACCAGCCTCAAGGGGTTTCTTTTCCCAATCATTTTTCTTTCTTGGTCAAGCAAGCATTTGGTTTGGAGGGGCAGATCTTTTTTGAACGAGCTTTAAAGGCCGAGACCCCTACCATGCAAGTAACTTTTTACTGCCGGGCGGAAAGGCCGGTAACTTTCCGGACTTGGGCACCTGCGCATTCAAGCCGATTGATTCTTTAACAATGACCACCAGCCAGAGGCGAAAATAAATCGCCATCCATCGTATCTGTAGGCGTCCGTCCGTTAGGTTGGCCTAATTTATGTCCCCCACGCCCGAGTAGTACTATTTATGTCTCGGGCGAGATTTCTTGAGCTTGGTGTCCAGTCTGGCCTGCCAGCCCGTCCAGGGGCTATGTGATCCGAGCGGCTTGTGATGTGATGAGCAGGCTAGGCTACCTCCATTTCTTTACGCCCTCCGATACGATTCGCAGACGGTATGTCTCGTCACCCGTCACTCCCCTACACCAACCAGTTATTATAAATAAAATAATTACCGTACATGGTGTAACGTGCAGCAACGGAGCACGAGCGTGGTAAAATCTAGACGTGCTTACGGTGAATAGTCGTTGGAGGGCGACCAAAAAGCACGTTCCGCCGCCGCGTCTGCGCGGCGGAGCGGTGGTGCCGGAGAGGCGTAGGGCGTGCTACAGTGAGGCGTACGCGGCGGCAACGTTTGGAAATTTCAGTCTGTCGTATCCGCGGCGCTCCCGTTTACCATGGCCATGGCTGGCCACTAGGGTAATAACACCAAAAGTTACAGCGGGGCTACAGCCTAGAGACGCACGGCGTGTGTGTGTGTGTATACGCTGCACAGTCGCTGCGGGCACATGCAGTCTCTCTCTCTCTCTCTCGGATGGGCGCGTGCATGCATGCACGCAGTGCCTGCCGCCCGGTAAGGCGTTGCGTCATCTGACTCGGATCCTCCGCGGTAAAAAAGTGACTATAGTAATTTGTTTTACCTGCCGCCCTAGGGGTGGTCACTGGTCTGGGAGGACGTGTGGTAGTTACTGTACCACTTTACGGCTGGCTCTGGGTGTTACGTTCGGTAAAAAGGTAGAGTAAAGCGCGGTACAGCAGGGAAGACTTGGGCGGGTGGAGTCAAAGGTGGCCTCCAAATGGCTCTGTCATCGCTCATTCGTCGTCTCGTCCCTGCCCTGCTGTAACTGAAGCAAGGTTTTTTTTTCCCGGCCACCTCGCGGCTGATCGTTGCAGGTGGCTATTTTTGTACTTCCTCTTTTTCGGTTTATAAGCCTCAATTTAAAAATCTCACCAACCAAGATAGATGGTGAGTGGTGGAATATTTTTTTTTGTTTGCAAAAACACCCAACTAATGCTCTTGTTTTCCTCAAAAAAGTATGTTTACCAATGCATTAATTGCAATGCATGCATGCATAAATTACATGCATTGGTCAATTTTCTCTTAATACTTGCATGCAACAATTTAATGCACCATGGAATCTGAACATGTGATGGGAAACAACCAAATTGAGCCTTATAAAATGGAAAAGCTAAAGTTTTGAGATAAGCCCTATAAACCGGAAAGGAGGGAGTGGCAAGCTACCGCCAATGAATGGACTGATTTCGTGAGAGGTCCGGGTAGCAAATGCACAGGGAAAATACCAACGTGAAATATGTGACGCAAACGACCAGCTCCGCGACGAACGACTCGCTAGGGGCTATGGACTGCTGGTGACGCTAATGCATGGATGATACCAATGCAGAACCAACCTCGGCGGTTGCAGCGTCGGTGCTTGGGCGAGGAGGTTAGAGCATCTATAGCCGGGTGCACCAAACCCATCTCAAACGCTCGGACAAACGGCCTGGTCATGAAAATACGATCTTGATGAATGTCTTAAACGGGTCTTAAACATCCGGACTAACTGGCACCCATCATCACTGGTAGAAAAAGGGCCTGTTGTCCCGGTTCGTAAGGGCCTTTAGTCCCGGTTCCTGAACCGGGACTAAAGGGTCGGTACTAATGCCACGGCGCTTTAGTCCCGGTTCAGTCCAGAACCGAGACTGATGGGCCTCCACGTGGCCTGTGCGCGGAGCCCAGGCAGGAGACCCTTTGGTCCCGGTTGGTGGCACCAACCGGGACCAATCGACATCCACGCGTCAACATTTCTGTGGCTGGGGTTTTTGTTTTTTTAAGGGGGGGGGGGTTGGGGGTTAATTTAGGTGTTTCATATATTGTGTTAGCTAGCTATAATTAATAGAGAGAAGTGTCCTCTCTTATGTCCGTGCTTGATCGACGCTACGTACTATACATACGTATAGAGAGGACTAGACACGCTAGCTAGCTAGTAAGCAAACGAAGGAAACAGAAGATCGTCATGAACATATATGCATACAGAGAGAAGTGATATCGACCACCTCTCTCCTTCTCCGAGAGATTGGTCGAACAACAAGTTCTCGTATATCTATCCGACACTACCGGCTACATATATACAATAATTATCTCTTACAAATATAATCATACGGAGTCATGATCCACATAGTATTCTCCGTCTTCAGCGATCACGTGGTCAAGAAAGAATGCCGCCAATTCCTCTTGAATTGCTCGCATGCGAGCTGGTGCTAGGAGTTCATCCCGCTTCTGAAACATCTAATTTTAAGAAGGGGGTCAATACAAATGATGGTAATAAAATAAAATTGTGAATGTTGTTATTTACGTACTTCATATTGTTCGTCAGAGTACCCGCCCCGCTCACAGGTCATGTGGCGGATGGACTCGCAGACGTAGTATTCACAGAAATCATTCCCTTGTTCCTGCCACAACCACTTTACAAGAAATAGAGGTCAATCAAACTGATAAGCAAGAATGCTACATGGTATTGATGAGACTAGCGCTTGAATCACTAGGAGATGCGCGGAACATGCTACTGTAGTACTTACTTTCGGGTGTCTAAATTTTAGCTCCTTCGGCAGTCCCGGAACTTTTCTGGTGAATTTTCTCCAAACCCTGCCGGACAAAGAAAACAATTACTTGATATCAGGAAATGAACAAAGTTGCTGATATGGTGGATAATGATCGATTTAACTTACTTCTTGAGGATTTTAGTCATGTCCACATACTCCTGGGGATCTTTTCGTTTAGAGTCCAAGACAGTTACTACTCCCTGCTCAAGCCTAATCTCTAGGAGAATATAGTGGTACCTGCGCACGCATGCATAACTCATCAATTACATTACTATAACCTGGACTAATATATAAGGGAAACCGAATATGCACAAGACAGAAACACTCACTTGAAGTTGTAAGGAAAGAGTATTATATCTTTGTTTTCATTTTTTTGAATGATCGTAGAAAGTTGGCCACGGTATCTTCGGGACGATGTTCAACCTCAATTGCATCTATGAGATATGTGTTAACGAACCCAATATCACCAATTTGTCTTTTCTTCAATTCGGCGATCTTCAATCTGCATAATATAGTGAGGATAATTATAAATACATGCAATGAAAGAGATGAGCTATATAGAGAGACTTAATGACAGAAGTAGTAGTACTTACAGACAGTAGCAGGTGACCGTTATTTTATCGAGGGCCAATTGATTGAAAAACTGATAGAACTCCTCAAATGGAATAGGCAACAGTTCAATTCCAACGAGGTCATGCTCCGGTTTAACTCTCGCATACAAAGTACTCCTCCCCCCAGACTCTCTGCAGATTTTCAAGTACCAATCATGTAATCTTCGCATCATCGTTGTTAAAGATTTTTCATCTTTGACGAGAGGCTTCCCGTACTCGTATCTGTGTATCTGCACCTCCATGGGATCATAATGTACATCGTCGGGTAGGTAATCGTCAACATTGCAATAACCGGGCACCATCCTCAGATCGACAATGTCGCTAGGCACCTTGAGCGGGGGGCACGATTGCTTCGCTTCTTCCCCGAGCTGGGCAATTTGTTTCCCAGCTGCTCGTCGTTCTTTCAGCCTTTGATCACTGACTGTACTTCCCGACCACTCCGCTTCGGCCCATGTCTTTGCAATAATGCGCTCATAGTTGCCTTTCGGCGGAGACTTGGGTGGTTTTGCCAGGGCAGCCAGAGTGCGCTTCACTTTCACCGGATCTACCTTCTCCTCCGAAGGTGGATGTCTCTTTGCTTTCAACCCTTGAAACCAGTCATCCACTTCGGTTCGCGCGATCTTCGCGTTCTCCTCCGGGGTCCTCTCGTATGGTAACTTCTGTGGACTCTTCAGAGAAGGACCGAATCTGTATGTCCTCCCGCCTCTAGTTGTACTGCTAGATGCCGGCCGAGCAGACGGAGCGGTTGTCTTCTTTACTTGCTTACGAGGCGGAGGAGAAGGACTACGACGCGCCGGAGCAGCTGCCGGAGCGGCAGCGGGTCTCTTCCGCCCTTGCTGACGAGGCGGAGAAGGAGGAGGCTGGCTGCTCGGGCGCGC